GAAAGCTCTGAAGAATCACTTTATTGCAATCACTATAAAGCCAGACCAATACCCTTGTCAGAGACTAAGAATTCCCTGGGTAAAGAAAGTAGAGAAAGAAAACTATGTATAACCAACTTTCAACGTTCAAAAACTCCTGGGATAACAGCACAACATGGTCAACTTTGGCAAGGGAAATCTCCAACTTTACTGCCAATAATCGACCTGGTTCTCTACATCTTTTCCATACAGTAAAGAACTTTGACCCCTCTATCTATATGTCTTTACATAAACATCTCAGAAATGATCAAACCCCAAACATTAATACTACAGGTTAAAAAAATACTTAGTAAGGCATCCCCATCAGATGAACTAAATTCTAGAAAACAATCATCCCTAGTAATCAACAATAGTCATACAAAACAATTTGCAGTGAGAATAAGAAGTAGCAAGCTCCCCACTAAGATGCAAAACTCAACTCTTCCTTCAGAACAACATGACTGACAGCCCAACATGATAAGTGTACCAATGTCAATTCGTACATTAAGTATTCGTAAAGCTTAATTTATGTCCAACTTTAAAGATAACCATGAATATACAAGTACTCGCATTTTTTTCTATACCGCAAAGTAGCATTATATGCATAACATCTCAGCACTGCAGTTCTCAAAAAGGAATCTAAGGACCTTTGAGAGGTCTGAGTCCTTTTCATCAGAACTGTTTTCATATGAATACTAAGATATTTCTTGCCTTTTTGTTCGTTTTCTCAGAAGTATGTAGCAGTATATTCCAGAGGCTACCTGATGTGTGTTATTGCAACAGACTGAATGAAAAAGTGGAACGAGGATCCAGGTTTTATTAAACCAAAGTTTAAATGAGATGTGCAAAAATGTAAAATGATGTGTCTCTTACTAATTTGTTTTAGAAACGTTACTTTTCTCATTAAAAATGTTATTTATGCTAACATATTGTAATAAGTTTATTGTTATTTTTAGTAAATTAATAAACATATTTCTCAGTTTAAATTTCTAATATGGTAATATCAATAAATATAATAACCAATAGATACAAAAGCTCTCTCTGGCCCTTAACTTTTAAGAATTTAAAAGGATCTAGCCAGGCGTGGTGGCTTATGCCTATTATTCCAGCACTTTCAGGAGGCTAAGGTGGGCTAATCACTTGAGCTCAGAGGCTCGAGACCAGCTTGGGCAACAAAGCAAACTCCATGTCTACAGAAAAAATAGAAAAATCAGCCAGGCATGGTGGCAGAGGTTTGTAGTCCCAGCTACTTGGGAGGCTGAGACAGGAGGATGGTTTGAGCCCAGGAGGTGGAAGGTTGCAATGGGTGAAGTTCATGCCACTGCCCTCTAGTCTGGGCCACAGAGCCAGACACTGTCTCATAAAACAAATAAATGGGTCTAAAACCAAAAAGTTTGAGAATAGCTGTCCCACAGAAATTCCTACACGTGTACAAAGAGACATGCTTGAAAAGTTCATTTCAGCCTGTCAGCAAAATGTTTACTAAATCTTAATAGTATTAATATTTGAGCAAACAAAAAAAAGCAGGTCAAAGCTGCAGTAAGCCGTGCTGGCGCCACTACACTCCAGTATCAAACACAGAATATTACATATTGTTTATGGACCACAGAGATTAATACTAAATTATCTGACTGTCTCTCCTGCAAGTGGGAGGAGAGTTGGGGTTGGAGTGAGGATGAAAGGAAGACTTTATATTTTATTTTTAAATTAAAAACACAAAATAGTAACAACTGTATATTCTTAACTGTTTTATTTTCTCTGCACTATTTTTGTACTTTTTTTTTGAGATGGACTCTCGCACTGTTGCCCGAGCTGGAGTGCAGTGGCCCAATCTTGGTTCACTGCAACCTCCGCCTCCAGGGTTCAAGCGATTCCCCTACCTCAGCCTCCCGAGTAGCTGGGATTACAGGCGCCTACCAGGAGGCCCACCTAATTTTTCGTATTTTTAGTAGAGACAGGGTTTCACCGTGTTGACCAGGCTGGTCTCTAACTCCCGACCTCGTGATTCACCCACCTTGGCCTCCCAAAGTGCTGGAATTACAGGTGTATGCCACTGTGCCTGGACTATTTTTGTACTTTAAATGTCTTAAAACTGCAGATGATGCAAAAAAAAAGTGGGAGGGGCAAGATACAATTCTTCAGGATGTAGGCAAGATGGGTTAAACACTAAAAATACAGTCAATGGGTTAAAAAATACAATTCAGCTGGGCACAGTGGCTCACGCGTGTAATCCCACCACAGTGGCTCACGCGTGTAATCCCAGCACTTTGGGAGGCCAGGAGGGCGGATCACGAGGTCAACAGATCAAGGCCATCCTGGCCAACATGGTGAAACCCTATCTCTACTAAAAATACAAAAATTAGCTGGGCGTGGTGGTATACTCCTGTAGTCCCAGCTACTCGGAAGGCTGAGGTAGGAGAATCGCTTGAACCCAGGAGGCAGAGGTTGCAGTGAGCTGAGACTGCGCCACTGCACTCCAGCCTGGGGATAAAGCGAGTCTCCATCTCAAAAAAAAAAACAACAACAACAACAAAAACAAAAAAAACAACAACAAAAACCATACTCTTTATTCTATTCCACAAACTTTAGCAAATTCTTCATAATTCAGAAGTGTATAAACTATATAACAAACACCACTAAGTATTAGCCATAATTGATAACTGATGGTTTTTCACTCATCTTTTCATCTTTCACAACACTTAATACATGTCTTGCCATAAAAGTTCTCCAAATATTCTGTTAAATGGGTATCTTTTTTTTTTTTTTTGAGACGGAGTCTTGCTCTGTCACCCAGGCTGGAGTGCAGTGGTGTGATCTCGGCTCACTGCAAGCTCCGCCTCCCGGGTTCACGCCATTCTCCTGCCTCGGCCTCCCGAGTAGCTGGGATTACAGGCGTCTGCCACCACACCCGGCTAATTTTTGTGTATTTAGTAGAGACAGGGTTTCACCATGTTCACCAGGCTGGTCTTGAACTTCTGACCTCAGGTGATCCACCTGCCTCAGCCTCCCAAAGTGCTGGGATTACAGGCGTGAGCAAATGGGTATCTTTAATAACCTCATCTTTCCTATCTTCCTTTCCTTCTTTGAAATGGACGTCTTTTACCTGCGCTTCTGATTTGTCCCATTTCTCTTATCCATAATTTTGCTTCAAGTTAGCCATCCCCCCTCTTGCTGGTAAACTATGCTTTTCTACACCCCCTTCCTTGAAAATGCTAAAGCCTCTACTCCCATCTAAGAAGACTAGGGATTCAACACTACTAACTAAAGCTAAAGCCTTATATATATTATAAACGAAGGTAATGCCTATCACCAGTGCCTAGTACATTGTAAACTGCCCTTCCTTCCCTCATCCTTAAGCAACGTTTCCCTCTAATCCCTCCAAACCAAATCTCTGAAGACTACTTTACACTAGCTACCTCTTATTTCCTTATCTCCCATCACCATTCAACCCTAAATTTCAAATCCTGTTGCCCTCAAACATTTCAGTGGCCAAGTCCCCTCATACTATACAAAATATTATCTTCAGTGGAGAGATCCGAGTTCAAATCCTAGTTCTGCCATTAACTAGCAATATGCCCTTGGGGGAGTTTTTATTATAATTTCTTGGAAAATCAGCTTCCTCATCTGTAATTGGACTCTATGCAGGGTTGTGGGAATACATATTAAATTAGACATGTGTACACATAAGTGCCTGACATGCCATTGGTCTTATATTAATTCCTTTTGTTCCCCCTTTCAATTTTCCCCCACCTTTCCCATCTGAACTCCTGGATGTCTCCCTCTATCTCCTAGTTGCTTCCAAGTTTAAGTCCTATAAGCCCAACTGCTTGCCAAAAATTTCCACGTGATGGTTCCACAATTAACTCAAACTCAACCTGTTCAAAAATCAAACACATTTCTTCTCTACTAAGTAGGCTTTTGATGACTTGTGTTAAGGTATCACCACTAACACAAGGGCTAACCTAAGGGCTGAGAGAGTGGTGATACCACTCTCTCAGCCCTTAGGATGTGGGGACAAAAGGTGCTTATAAACCTATCAGATGCCAAGGTCCATGGATTCCTTTGGCCCACATCATTTCTCTACTCTCCATTCCCACCATACACTTGCCAAGTTCAGGTTTTACTTATATTTCCTACCAAGTCTCTGCCTCCTATAATGCATACGACTATGAACGAAACCGTTTTGATTACATTATCCCACTGCTTAAAACCTTCAATGTTTACCTACAGCCTAAAAATGAAATTCAAACACATTAGGCAAACATGGAACTTGTCAGGCTCAAACTACTTTACCATCCTTACTTTCCAGTAGCCTTCAGAATCAAAATAACTCACTTTTCAACACTACTGCCCTTCGATCACTGCTTCCTACATCTTCTGAAGTCCTAAAACTGATACCTGCTCCTCTTCCCAAGCCTTCACTGATCTCCAATGGCTATGCCACACTGCAATGGAAGGATCCCAAAGGAAGCTGTTCTACCACATCATATTAAAGTTATTTGTCTAAGTCCTATGTCCTCTACTGGATTAGACTTTTAGGTGACTGAGATGCTTGGTAGCCCTACAGTACTCAGGACATGGCTGTGCAGGTGAGCAGGCACTCAGAAGTTTAAGTGAAGATCAGATTTGAGAGATTCAAGATTATATGGGGAATGAATCAAGAACATTTCATGAATGGGGAGAAATAGTTGAGAAGCACTACAAATCAAGTAGGCACAGTAAGATGAATTTTAAAGTCAGATTAATTTCTCTAGAAGAGTTTTAATTTAGCAGAAGAGAGTTGGCATTCTTTGCAGTTCACAAAGACTAGGAATAGAACTGAAATGAACTGGAAAATGAACAATGATAAGAAAATGCTCATTTTGCACATTTAAAAAGGTCAAATATCACTTCCCTTTTTCAAGGAATCAATACCATTCCTAACTTTGGTTTTTCAAAGTAAAAATTACTGATGGTGCCTTTTCAGGATTAATAGAAAATACTTTGCTTAACAATGTGCTTGATGTCAACTTCCATAACGCCTGAATCGGAATACTTCTGATCTTAAGAATAAACTAAAAATCCTCTTCTTTCTTCAAAAACATTCATTCTTCCGATTCTGAAATAAATTTTTAAAAAACACATTCACTGTTGGGAGAAAAATGTACTTGAAATATTTTAACTACTGTTGTGCCATTTGTTTTAATTCTCATTCAACAATTATTTGCAAGGCACCTGTTTTGATTGGGAGAGAAGGAGGGAAAGGAACAGAAACTTCCTGCCCTCATGGAGCCTGGAGTCAACATTCCAGTGAATTTTACCTTCAGAAAACAATCAACTTCCAACCCTGAAATAGTTGGAGCATTATCACAAATTCTCTGGCGATCAAAAACTAGGACATATTATTTTTATTGTTTTGAAAATCATCACTACTGAACTTTTACAAGACACTATCCATTACCAGCTGCAACTACTGCAGTTAGGGCATTTTATTTACCCATCAATTGAAGAAAATCATTTTTAGGGTAACTTATATGGCAATAAATTGTCTCAACTGCAGTGTAATTGGAGAGTCCCATATATTATAGCACCGCAAATCTAAAGGAAAGTTATTGCACCATAATTGTTACAAGTAAACCTACAAAATCTGTGAGATGCAGCACGTTTTTAATGCCACATCCACACATCTCGAACTACTACATTTGATTTTTCAATGTTGCTTTATCTTTGGTACTTGGAAAGGGAAGACAATACAGCTCAACCCATGACAATAGTTCCCATTCTGTAACCGCATTTTAAATCATCAATAGCCAAGTCTCCTCCTCCCAAATCGATTCTGACAAATAGGATGTATGGACTCTACACTCCAAAAGCAACACCTGGAATGATCAGAGAAACAACTAGAGAACTTTAAGGCCGCAGGCAGCTTTGTTCCCGGTTTGGAGAGGTTTTCACATGTAAATGTCCTCGTAGAAGGGAGCCGAGGATTAACTACCTCGGGAGGGGGTGCGAGGGTAGGGAACTGGAGGACAACGCCAGCCTTCTAGCGGACTAAGGCGGAGCGAATACTCTTCTCTCCCATTCAACTTTTTAGGCGTCACGTTGGGGCTATAGAGCCTATAAGAGGGTTATGTTCACGACTTTAAATTATTACAACGAGCCACCCCCTCTCCGTTTATTAGCCCTATTTCCCAAGTGCGTGAATCTCGGAGAAGGGGGATGAACACCCTCTCCAACTCCTCCCAGACCCGGGATCAGAGTCCAGTCGTCGACGCGCCGCGGCCTGAGCAACAGGAGAGCTGAAGCCACCGCTCCGCCAGCCCCACGACCGGCAGATGCTCCCGTTCCCCCGCCCCCAACCCCACGCGCCCGCCCGCGCTTCTTTCTTAGCCCCTTGCGGGCTCCCGGCACTGCGAACCCGACAACGGGGCTCGCGGAACAGACAGCGAGGGCGCCCGGACCCAAAAAAGGGACAAGTTAGAGGAACGGGCACAGACTTGGGCTAGGGGAGGCCGCAAGGGGGCGAGGGGGGAAGCCCGAGGTCGCCGTCCGGGGGTGGGCAGTGGGGGGAGGGGTGCAGGGTCAGTTCCCGTGGTCGCCGCGACCTCTCCCGGGCCACAGGCCCCGCTCCGTGCAGGCCCCGCCGCCCCGGAACCGGGGCAGGAAGCGTCCCCACCCGGACCAAAGCTTCAAACCTCAGGCGGCGGGAGAAACGGGCCCCGGCTCCCACAGCAGGCCCGGCACCCCCCTGCCCCGAGCACCCCTTACCTCCTGGTTGAAGGCGTTGACGGCGTCCATGTTCGCGCTGCGGCGGCGGCTGTTCCGGGCCCGCCGGTCACATAGACCTCGCGCCGCGGCGGAGCGGGGCCGGGAAACCAACCGGGCCTGGTGGCTGGGGGGAGGCGACGAGCGGCGGAGCCCGAGGCCCGGGCAGGAAGAGGCTGCGACCGAAGCGGCGAGGCGGGCGGCCGAGGCAGAGGCGGAGAGGTGGCGGGCCCCCTCTCAGTCCCGTTCGCAGGATGAGGAAAAGGAGGCGGCGGCAGCGCCGGTCTTCAACATGTCCGTTTGGTGGTGGCGGCTGCGCTCTGCGTCTCGCTGACACGGCCCCCCGCGCCCTCACGCACTGGCTCACACTGGCCCGGCCGGCGAGCGGGCGGGCCTCTCTCTCCCTCTCTCCAGCGGGATGGCGGCAGCGGCCCGAGTCCACGCCGCGCGGGGCACCCTGGGACGGCTCAGGCCTCCCGGCGCTTCCTGTGCCCGGCGTCCGCCCCGCCCCGTTGCGCTGGCCCCGCCCCCTCCCCGCCTCGTCCCGCCCTGCGCCGCCCCGCGTGCCTGGCTGCTGGCGCGTGACGCTGGGACGCCGGGCGCTTTCCCGCCAGCGGCGGCCGCGGGCCGTGGAGACGGCCTGGCACCGAGGCCAGGCCCGGGCGGAGGGCGCCGCAGAGCGCGGGATCCTAGGGCTGCGAGGGTGGCCTAGAGCAAGACCTGGCGCACGCGCGCTCCGCTCGACGCGGTGCTCCCGGGTGCGTCTCTGCGAAATGTTCGGCCCTCACCGGCCCTGCACCCGGCGGGGGCGGCGGGCATGGAGCCGCTCGCTCTCCGCTGCCGCGAACAAAGGGCGCAGGATTTAACCTCGGCCCTCTGGGCGTGCCTTTGCAGGCCCTCGTGCGCTCTGCTGGGGAAAAGAAAAAAAAGCTTCAGCCAATGCCAGTGCAGCTGTGTGCCCGCTGTAGTTGTGCAGGTTAATTCTGCGCGAGCTAAAACACCGAGAAAGACGTGCAGGCACTGGATATCCACGCAGGCCTTAAGGAACGCCTGTGCAGCCTTGTGCCGCGAGAGGAGTGGATTCACTAACTTTCACGCTGATTCCTCAAACCAAGTTGTTTCATTTTTGGCCAAAACTGTTTATGCTGATCACTTTCCTTGAGTACCTACTGGCTGCCTGGTGTTGGGGACAGGGAATAAAAGATAATTGTTTTGCCTGAAAACACCACAGTTTAGTGGAGAGGACAGGCAACTGAGCAGATACTTATCAAAGCATGCTTAGTGTTAGGGCAGAGGCCCTGGGAAACAAGAAAGATGCGCCTCCGACAGGAAGTCCAGGAAAGCTTCCTAGAGGAAGTGGCACCTGAGCTACATCTGGAGGGAGGAGAGGCCTACAGAGCCTGATGAGGACTGCCACCATCACCTCCCCCGAAGGAGGACCAGCTGGAGCTTAGGAGCAAGGTGGACTGAGAGACGAGAGTGAGACCAGATCCTAAAGAGGCTTTGCTCTTCCAGAGTTTGGATTTTGCCCCCTTAAGGCAGAGGGGAGCCCTTGAAAGGGGAAGGTGGAGTGATGGATGCAGTGTTCTCTCAGAAGGATGGTGCAAAGTAGTAAGAGGGGACAGGGAAAGAATGGCCCTAGCCCCCCGGGAAAATGAGGACTGAAGGTGGTGGCGATGGAGAAGGAAGGACAGATGTTTAGGAAGTGGAGTGGAAGGGCCAAGGCAGAATAACTGTGAGGTTAATAAAGGGGGTGTCCAGGAGGATGCCCAGAGTCTGACTTGATGAATGACATGGGTGGTGGGTTTATGAGTCAACGTAGGGAATATATGGGGAAGAAGGCGTGGGTTTGAGGGAAGACAGGATGATGGTTAACACTTGTCGCTTATTGCGCCAGGGTCTCCTGACAAGCTATTCTGTACTGTTTCATTTAATCTCCGTAACAGGCTTCTCGGTGAGGTGTCTATTAGTAATGCCCTCATTTTATAATTCAGGGAGTGAGTGAACTAATGTGTCCAAGGTCACACAGCTGGATCATTTCCGTCTGGGGCCTGTGGAGTTTGAGCTGTCCCTGGGACAAATAAGTGAGGATGTCTAGGAGGCAGTTGGATAAACACGTGCAGAGTCAGGAGCGATGGCTGAGATGATAGAAATCTGGGAGTCATTAGTGCACAGCTAGTGGTGGAAGGAGCTGAAATAGGGGGAAAAAGCCCAGGAACACAGGTATGTAAGGGATATGTTGGAGGTAAGAAGAGGTGAAGAAAGAGCTCTGAAGTGATCAGCTCTATGTGGTGCTGGATGTAAAAGTCCAGCAAGATAAGAATTAGAAAGTGCCTGATGGGTGCTACATGCAGGGAGCTTGTCCTGCGTGTAGGCTGGCGTGGTGAGGGCAAAAGCTAGACTGATGTGTATCAAAGAGGGGAAGGCAGGCAGGAGAAAGTTTATAGAAACTTGGCTGTGAAGGCAAGCTGTGAAGACAACAGAAAAAACTTGTAGGAGGAAGTGAGAGTGTTTGCTTGTGTGTTGTTTTGTTTTGAGATGAGGGTAATGTACTCTTAATTACTTGTTAAAGGAACAAAGTAGATTTCAAATTTTATTTTCGGGTCCACTCATCTTCTACTTCATTACCACTTCCTATTACTACTTTTTAATTTTCCAGCTGAACTACCATTATATTTTCCAAATCCATCTTGCTTCTGTAACAGCTGTCATCCACAAGATCACTAACATTGCATTAGAAAGTACAGACGTGAGGCCGGTGCAGTGGCTCACGCCTGTAATCCCAGCTACTCTGGAGGCTGAGGCAGGAGAATCGCTTGAACCCGGGAGGCAGAGGTTGCAGTGAGCCGACATGGTGCCACTGCACTCTAGCCTGGGCAAGGGAGCAACACTCCATCTAAAAAAAAAAAAAAAAAGAAAAAGTACAGATGTGAGTAGATCTCTGTTTCCTACCCTTTGGCATTTGGCATTTCTGGAGATCTACTGTCTCCCAAATTCTGTCCAAGATCCCCACACCATGTTTCCAGCCTATTGCCAGGGCACAACCCACATTTTGTCATTCCCTGGACACATCTGGGAATTGACATGGCTGGGCCTTTGCTCTCATAGAAAACTCCTCTCTGCTCCTCTATATAGGCGGTCCCATTTAACATCTAGTTGATATTGAGATGTCACTGCCTTTTCATTCACTAATCATGTATTGAGCATGTACTTTGTGCCAGGCACTGTGCGGAAAAGCTTCCCCACTCCCCTTTCAGCTAGTCTCAGCATCTTCCACCATATGCTTCTATGACTCCACCATAGCACCTCTTACCTTGTATTGCTGTTATCTGAAAAAAAAAAGAGTCTGCATTATTCTGAGACAATGTGCTCCCACCCTGTCTCTACCTGTTTCTGTGAAGAGTGGCAGAACTTAAAAATGGGTCCACAAAGCCAAACGGGATCCCCCTTCCCCAATTCATACACAGTCTGCTTTCCCCTTGTGATTCAGGGAAATAGATTTGTCCAAGGAAGGATGAAGTCTTAAGCTGGGGTTGGAAAGGGGGACATGGGACGAGGGTGGTGGGTTGAGCTTTGGACAGGTTGCCTTTTGGGACTCAGTGCTTTACCGCTATTGGGGCCTATAATGGTTGTCGAATGAGGGAGTGATTGTCCAAAGTGGGTATTTTCTTTGTACCATCCTGCTGAGATTTTAATGCATAAGAAACAAGATTTGGCTTCTAAGATCCATGTGCTTGAGGTAGTTAGATTTTGGAGGTTCTTTCCTGGATAGGATTGTTTGGTTTTTATGTTGAGAGTGTTTGAGAGGTCTTTTAAAAGTAGTTGGGGAATATATGCTATCAGCTAGACTTTGGGTGCCTTGGCAGCATTTTCTAGCATTTTCCTGTTCTGAAGACAGCAGCACCTGTATCTGTTCTGGAACATCTGGTAGCCATTTGCACAGCTACTGCTGGACTTCCATCTTTATCTCTTCAGGCAGACAAGTCAAACCTTCCAATAGGAAATTTTGGGTAAATGACAAAAACTCATGAGGGTTGTCCTTTGTGAGCAGACTTTGAAGCAGTAGGAATGTAGCCTATTGAAAAGATGGCCAGAGGTTCAGAAATAAATGTGATGGATAAAAATCAGCAAGACATTTAATACATCTGCAAACTTGCCTTTCGAAGAACATTGATTGAAACAGATTCGTTTGTTTATAATGTGGGTATGAAAATAGTTTTGAAAAGCCATTCTAAACAAACTTATGTTTTTAGAAAGAGTAGATGAAATCTGTTTGCAGAGGAAGGAAAAGATAACATTCAGGAAGCAATATGCTGGTTAATTCTGTGTTCTTCGAAAGCCCACTCATTTACTTGAAAGGAATGCCGGCTACAATCCACAGGTATAGAGAATATGGAGAGAAAGCATCTCACGCCTGACGAGTCCAGTGAAACATTTATAGATAAGAATCTAAGAGAATACGGGTTCTTTCTGTTTTTTTGTTTGTTTGTTTTTGAGACAGGGTCTTGCTCTGTCACCCAGGCTGGAATGCAGTGGTATGATCATGGCTCACTGCAGC